CAGTGTAGCTCTCCAAAAAGTACTTCACTACCAGTACGGGCTTTCAGTTTCAACATGGTTTTCCTCCTGCGACTAACAGAATGTGTCTTGCTTGTATTTGGCTCTAAGCCCATGTCCCTTAAAGCTTCATTTTCAGAGAACAAAAAGAATGCTGGCAATTTGAGCCCAGCGAATGACTGTGCTGACCTCTGGGACTCCTTTGCTGTTTTCTTGTGATCAAAGACAGTGCCTATTCTGTTTAGAATTAGAGTAATAGTCGGCCCCACAGAATCCACTGGCAGGTTATGAAAACAACAGCTATGCTTATCAGAAGATGAAAAGAAGTATGCAGAGACTAAGCCTCTAAGAAATTATTTTAACCCTTCACCACCTCCATATCCTACCAACTACCAACTTCCTAAATCATTGATGGAAAACTCCTTAGCAAACCAGGCAGTAATTCGGTCCAGGGCATTAGAAACTTGGACGGGCTCTTTGAGACCATCTGGTCCACTGGCCACGTTTTCCATGTGAGGACACTTAGGACAGGAGAAGAAACGGAACATGGTCAAGGCTGGTGTGTGGAGAGTTCTCTGAGCATGTCTCCAGCCCAAAGTCCTATGATCATTCCAATACTGAATTTTTTTTCAAGGTGACCAAGAAGCCCACAAATTGCCTTGGACACTTCCCACCATCCACACCATACCTGTCTGTTCCCAGGTGCAGAAAATAGGCCAGGGACTGGCAGATAGCATCACAAGGCCATTACACGTACAGTCATCTCTCTGCTGAGACCTCCTAACACAAAAGGCAGTAGCCCAGACCACAGCAGAGAGAGAATAATCTGCAGTTTTCACATGCTCCTACGCACATGTCAAAGCACTCGCTGTTCAGAAGGGGTCACCTAGCAAGCATTCTAGTCAACACTGCCCACCTTCTTGTAAACACCTGCAGGCCCTGCCTCAGCCCTCTGTACTTCTCCATGGCAAATCGGTGGAGTTATTTCCTTCCTCACGACTATGCAGGCTGCATGGGGTTGCTCAATTAGGAGGCATATTTTATAGCAAGTTAACATGCACAAGACTCGTTACTGATTGAGATGAAGTATTTGGTTGAAAGATTAGAGAAGTATGGAAAACATGAGCCGCGCTTCCAAGTTTTTAATTGAGTCTGGAAGAGCCCTGATGTAGTACAGAGAGCCCTGAAGTCTCGTCTCTTTATTTTCAAGAAACCCTGAGCAACCTGCCTTCCCAGTCTCACTTCCAGCCACAGCCGCCAAGCTCCGACATTCCAACATCCTTCCCACCACTGCACTGTACTTGTACCCTTCAGGGGCTCCTGAAGCCCCCCTTGCAGTCTATCCACCTCCCCACCTGGCCCCACTCTCATTCCAGACACCAGTGAACCCAGTTCGCCCTCAACCTCAGTTTCCTAGCCCTTGGTTTAAACATCTATTATTATTTGTATTATGGGCTGTGTTTTTAGACAGCTTAACAGTTCACCCCCACGTCTGGGAGGGCCCTGAGGCCAGAACACCGTGCCTCTGATCTCTGTGTCCTGCCCAGCACAGCACCTGCTGTGTCTCTTGAAAGACACCCCTGGAGCAATGTAGAGAGAAAGAAGCAGTGGGAATTCCAGGGCAGGGAGAATCAGGAGAAAAGAATGCCTCTTCTCCAGGAGACACCAACATCTTTCCTGATGTTCTCAGGGTTTCCAGTGGGAGACCTGATTTCAAACACTCCCAAGGAACCCCAGCTCCACGTGCTTCCCTCCTCTGGCAGGGAGGAAGCCTGAGGCCTGGCTCTAAGTGCAAGGTTGGAAAGGCCCAGGGGAGCAGGTCATCCAGAGCTAGCCCCTCGCAGCATGACCAGGACTGCAGGGATTGGCAACGTTCACCCCAGGAGCCATTGGCAGGCCAAAATGGGCTTTGGAAAGACACAGAGATTTGACTCGCAACCCCAACTCCTCTTTTTGCGGCCTTAGGGAAGTTATCTATTGTCCTCGAAGCCTCGGGTGTCTTATTCACAAACTGGTAGAATATTTGGCTCAGGGGGCTGTCGGGAGGGTAAAGGAATATCCATATTGAGCTCCTGCTGAAAGCACTGTGGGATCCCTCGGATGGGTGGGGGTACAGCAGGGCTCTTCAAGACTCAATTAACGCTTGTTAGAGCGGCTCATGTTTTCTATACTCCTCAATCTTTTAACCAAATACTTCATCTCAGTCAACATACATTTGGTCTTCCAGCAAACATCTACTGGGTTTCATGGTCCTTTGCTGACAAGCGCCTGTCTCTGTTCAAACGCTTGGTCAGCAATCCACGGCGCCCACCACTGTGAATCTCATGGCAGCAGCTTCTAAGGCACACCTCAGAGATTAGCTTCTTGGGCCCCCAGCCTCCATCTCATTTTCCACCTCCCTTGGGCCTACCTTCAAAAAACAATCCCCTGGCTTGTCAAAGTACTGAACTGTGGCCACTACCTTTGGACTTGGGAGTGCAGCCTCCTGGAGGCATTACAGTCACAGAAAACACCTGGCCTTCTCTCAGGACCTCCACTCGGGTAGACTGGAGCCATCACACTTTCCTCCAGCCAGGGAGCAGGGCCCACTGGCAAAAATAAGCCTTTCCGGAAACGCTGGAAGACAGAAGGGGTGACTCTAAGTGCTGACAGTATCATGAGGGTAAGTGTCACCTGTGTCATCTACCTTGAGTACTTATCTTAAATGCTGATGTTCCTCTTAAATTCCTCTTAGAAGTCCAAGTTTGGTGTCCTAAAATACAGCCGGTCAAGCCAAGCGTATCGGTGAGATCAAACCAAGTACTTCTGGAAGACTGAGCCTGTCCAAAGAGGACCACAAATAGTCAAGGCTTCGAATCACAGGAAGATGCCCTTTCCCAGGACACGAGCCCCCAGGGAGCATCCTGGAGCTGGTGCCTCACCCAATCCTGCCTTTCACCTTTGGGGCCTCATTTCCCATTGGCAACCTCCTACCCCTTTACACTTACTCCTCACGGGTCTCCCAGATGTGACCCCTCAGTTCCTTGTCACATCGCATGACGGCTCCTCACCCTTCAGAGCTCAGCTTGCTCATCCCCTCCCCACTGCATCCTCTGCACTTCCCCCAGCAGCTCCTGCCCCGCTAACTGCACCATACACACTTTACTGCTTCCATGCCAGTTCTCAGCTCCACGAGGCCAGGGACTGTCTTTGTCCATTGCTCTACTGCCAGCACTTTGTCCATCATCATCCTCTGAAGCAGACCACAGAGCCTCGGGCCACCACCGGCCTGGGCAGTGAGACCTGATGCTCTACTCTGACAAACAATTGGCCCCGAAACCACCCACTGGCACGCCCTGCTCCAACACTAGGTATCCTGGCAGACCACCGGCTGCCAGGGGGTGAGGACCCCTCAGCTGCTGAGGATCCAGCTATGTGCTGGTCACTCACAGGGGAAAGATGGTGGCTTCATTTTGGAGCTTCCAAGGAGGGGAACTGGCACACTGCCCGGCTGCCCTACTTTGCCAGCCTCCTTCCTAATGCTCTCCTCTAAATTGTGCCATGGGATTCTGAACACTTGCATGACCTGGAATACCCAATGCCATCAATCGTCTTGTCAGGGACTGGCAAGTGCAGGAAAATAAAGTGGCATGAGGCCAAATGCCACCACCTGAGTGGTGACAATTCACCTCAGACACCCAAGTGCCTTGTTTAACTAACCTGAGAGGGCAAAGACAACCTTATTATTACAGGAGGGAAAAACCAGACGGCATCAGGGTCCCCAGTTCAAGATTCCAGCTCTCACTGGCAGTTGTGGGATCAAGGGCAAATCTGAGTGGGTTTCCTCATCCAAACAACGGGTCTGACAATACTGCCTTCCTGGGGCTGCTGAGTTAACTGAGGGAATGGCAGAAGTGTGCGGCACGGCACATGGTGTGCGCTTAATAAACTCCAAGCAAAACAGACCTCGGATAGCACCAGGTCAAAGAACATCAGGACGCAAAGTGTCTGCTAGAGAGCTGGTGCTCTCGCAAGCCCTGGCCAAGGGCCTGCGCTGTCAGGAAATTCCAAATAAAACAGGAAATAGCATATATTCCCAGATAATCTTCACTCTACCCCTTTTATTTCTAGTCTACAGCTGTTAATGAGCCTCTTCACTGAATTATTGCTCTTCAAAAAGACTTTTTAATAGCTTTTTGCCTCTGCAGGAAGTTAAGCTGGATACTGCCTGAGCTCTTAATAAGCAAGGTGGTAACACTGATGCCCCAGTGCAGACACAGGCAGCTGCTACTGAGGGAGGCGGCGCGGGGCCGGAGCTGGGAGACTGCGCCCTCCTGGCGCTCTGGGGATCTGCTGCGCATCTCTCCGTCATCCGGTCTTGCCATGGTTAAAAATCAGCCAAGAGGCCAGAACTCTCAGCTCCCTCCTGCTTTTCAGAGATTCCTAGAACTGGCACTTCTCCAACACTTCATGCGCAGAAGTTCTGTCATCTAGGATGGTGACAGACCCCTTGTACAGGGAGCCTCCTTCCCACCACCTGGGAAGGAGGATGGGCGGGTCAAATCTTTCCAACCAGTCCCGAGGAGACCGAGGATGAGATGCGGGTGACTATTTTGGGCAACAGCCTCATCCTCACCCATCCTGGAAGCCATGCCACTGTCAGGAGTCTAATTCCTGCAAGAGCCTTGCCTTGGGCTGAGGGACAGCAGAAGAGGCAGGTGCCAGTGGCAAAGCAAGGACAGGGAGCAGCATCAGAGCTTAACTGTGCCAGAGCACACGTCCCTCCACGAAGAGCAGCATTCACCACAGTGACAAGCGAGGTGTGTCGGGGGGGGGGGGGGGGGGAGCCTGGCCAGTAAGGAAAAGACAGACACACCCCTCCTCCCCTGCCCCACCTAGGTTCTAGACCTCAGTGGGTACTGGGTGATGCCTCCCCCACACTGCCAGGCACCGCCAGCTAGACCAGAGCTGCGAGGCCCTGGGAAGAGCACTGCACTGGGGTAAGTGAAGAGACAAAACACCAGCATTTCTACAATCAAGTTTATTACTCAAAGCAAAAGTTGCCCATAGAAGACACTGGTCTTCCACTTTTATTTCTGCATGGTCATACAGGCTGAATGACTAGCTCCCAATCCCAGGAGGTATTATAAGTTCTGCTCTTCAAAATGATGATACTGTTTTAATGTCCTCACCGACAAAGAAATGACATTAATGAAAACACAATCAAGAATGACCCACTGGTACTTCAGATTACAGAGAAGCTGTCAGTGAGCAGTTCCCCACCTCTCACAGCAAAGGGGATCAAGGGCTAAAAATACCTTAGAAAAATCAAACAGCACCTGAAACACACGCTTACATAAAGGCCAAGCCCGCAAACTATTCCTTCTCGTCCATGCTGCTCAAATGTGAAGGGATTACACATAAAGTTAAAATGTGGCGAATCTTCTCACTTCCTCCTCTTCTTTGTGGAATATAATTTTTCTTCAAGTGGGACTGGGACAATCCCTTCACATTCTTTTAGTTCCTGGGTCAGAGGGTGTTTGACGATATTCCCTCTAATGACATCTGTGTCTCGAGACAAGTGATTCAACATGCTTTCAACAGTTGTGGTGGGTGAATAAAAATCCACCAAGAAATACCTGCAATAAAATAAAAACTTGTGAGTGCCTGCATTGGAACTGTAACAATTATATTATTTTGGTCAATGTTTCCACTTTACTCTTCCCAGACAGACAACAACTACACACAAACACACACATACACACACATACCCTTGTCAAAACAGAAACAGCTGGTAAGCTGATCAGCTAACAGAACTGCAGTATGATGCCCAATCTCCCTTTTTCTATGGCTTTTCCCATTACACTCTTGTGAAAATATGAATCCAAACCAACTTTATGGCAGCAAAAACACACTGTAACATTACAGACAGCATCAAGTACTAGAAAGCATGGGTAACTCCTAACCCATTGACAAGACTGAATTTTCCAAACTATTAATTCATGCTCTGCGTGTGTGTGTGTGTGTCTGTGTGTGTCTGTGTGTCTGTGTGTAAACATCTATTAGATATTCTTCTAACTTTTCAAAGTATTTTTCCTGTGAGCTAACACACCTAAGAGAACCATGAACCCACAAACATGAGAAAAGATTAAGAAAGGCATGGGACTGCTCTACAAATATTTTCAATACACACAAGGAGCGAGAAAATTACTTGAACCTTAGGCAAGAAAAATAATTTACCACTCATCACTCAAACCAGACTAGAGTCCACAGGCATCCCATGCAGCTCATGGGTCTTCAAAGATCAACAGGTCCTCAGCAGCCTGCTGGATGACAGTGCAAGGAAAGAGCCCTCCCTACCCACTCCCCCTCCTCTCAGACCTAAAAGGCTAAGCCTCCCTTGTACTGTTTGGTTTGGACCATTATGTGACTAAAGGTCAGTTTTCAGCACAGTATTTCAAAATCCTGCAATGTTCTAGCTGGTTAAGATGATCTTTTCGCCATCGCTTGCCTTGTTCTAGCCATACATACGGTTCTCAGAACTCCCAAGCACATTGTCCTCTCAGGCCTTGCACTCACTGATCCCAAATTCCACACAGCTCATCCCTTGCTTCTATGTCTCTTGTCCAAATGTCACCCTCCTAGAGAGGCCTTCTGTGCCTACTCTCCTAAAGCAGCAGCCTCCGAGCCCCACCAAGGTCCCTCACTCTCCATCGCCCTCATTCAAGGCTTTGTTTTGTTCAGCAGAGCACTTTCTCACCTCGGGCACAGTGTGCATTTGCTTACTGTCGGCCTCGCTCCACTAAAGCACAATTACCATAGGAAGAAAGGCTCTGGTGCTAACCCTGTAACACCAATAGAGATGAACACGGAAGAGGTCCAGAGTAAGTCTTTGACCATGGTGGTTTTAGCACGCAATGTGGAACTCTCAAAGGAAGCTGAAAGACCAAACTGAAAAGGAAAAAATTCACCAAGGAAGAAACTTACGAGAAAAGGGATAGCATCTTGTGTAATTCCAGACAAAGGGCAAAGAGGTTCAAAACGTGTAAGAAAACTTACCAAGGGACCATTTGCTCTTGGCCGCGTCTAGTGGAATAATTATTCAAGTAAACATATAATTAAATATAAGGACAAAAATATATGCCAACCAAAAACATTAATCGAAAGAAAGCTCAAGTGGCTATCTTAATATAAGGCAAAGCAGACTTCAGAGCAAAGAAAATTACCAGGGATAAAAAGAGACAATAAACACATAACGAGTTTAGCAGAATTACAAGATACAAAAGACAATACATAATGATGGGCTCACCAAGAAGATATATATCTTAAATATACATGCACCAGATAACAGAGCTTCAACATATAAGAACAACAGAACTGAACAGAGAAAAGGACAATCACAGCTGAAGCCATTTAACATTCCTCTTTCAGTAACCAATAGAACTGCTATACAGAAAATCAGCAAGGATATAGAAAAAGTGAACACCAACATTAACCAACTAGAATTAACTGATATTTATAGAACCCTTTACCCAAAAACAGCATAACAGACATTCCTCCTAAGTGTACACAGAAAATTTACCAAGGTCAACCATATTCTGGGCCATATAACATAAAGGGATTCAAGTTACACACAAAGATCTTGGGAAAATTGCTAAATACTTGGAAACTAAACACATACCTAAATAACCTGGACAAACAGGCAGAAGGAAAAATCAAAAGGGAAATTACAAAGTACTTTGAATTGAATGAAAAAGAAAATGCCACAAATCAAAATTTACAGGTAAAACAGTACTTGTCAGCAAACTTGTATCTGCTAAATGCCTAGGTAAGAAAAGAAAAAAGGCCTTAAATCAAGAGTCTCAGCTTCTACTTTAAGAAACTAGGAAAAGAGCAAATTAAATCCAGGAAGATGATGGAAGAGAGGGAGAGAGGAGAAATTCCTAAAGCATAAAAAAGAAAAACAGCATTTAACAAAATCCACAGCCATTCGTGATTTAAAAAAAAAAAAAAAAACTCAGCAAACTAGAGATAGAAGTGACCTCCCTCAAACTTATAAAGGGCATCTTTGAAAAATCTACAGCTGACTTTTCACCAACTGGTGAACACCTAAATGCTCTTCCCTTAAGATTGGGAACAAACCAGAAAGTCCACTGTCACTTTTATTCAACACTAAACTGGAGGTTTTAGCCAGTGCAATAAGGCAAGAAAAAGAATAGGTATCCAGACTGATAAGGAAAAAGTTAGACTGTCTTATTTGCATATGACATGATTGTGTTGAGAAAATATTTAGAAATCTATTTAAAAAGTAGAACTAATGAGTTTAGCAGGATTGCAAGATACAAAAGTCAGCGTTATTCCTATATTCTAGCAACAAATTATCAGATCTTGAAATTAAACATTCAATACTTACAGAGAAATCAGACAAAAGATATGCAAAACTAGAACATGTTGTTGAAAGAAACAAAACCTATCAGGTATATCTTGTTCATGGGTAAGAAGACTCAAAATTTAGATGTCAACTCTCTCCAAGTTAAACATAAATTGAGATCTATTACTTATTTTACTGAAATAAAATCTATTCAGATTCAGTAGAACCTCAATCAAAACCCTAGAAAATTGATTATAAAGTTCGTAATGGTCCTAAAACAGCCAAAACAACTCTGATAGAGAATGTAAGTTGAAGGACTAATACTACCTGATTTTCAAGACTTTATTATAAAGCTATGGCAATCAAGACAGTATGATATTCATGTACAAAAAGAGAGATCAAAAGACTAGTACAGAGAGTACCCAAATAGAGATTTACAACAAAAGGTGCTGGAATAATCCAGTACCCACATGCAAAAAAAGGGAACTTTACTCCCTACTTGTACCATTTAAAAAATTAACTCCAAATGGGACACAGATTTAAATGTAAAATATAAAGCTGTAAAACTTACAAGCATAGGTAAATTTGGATTAAGTAAAGTTTCCTTAGACACAACACCAAAACCAAAATCCATAATAGAAAAACTTGATAAACTAAACTTCACCAAAATTAAAAACTGCCCTTTGAATAAAAGATAAGACACTAAGACTTGTGAATTACAAGTCTGATAAAGGATTTGCATCTAGAATAAAAAGAACTCTCAAAATTTAATTTAAAAAAATTTTAAACAATGGTCATTAAGATTTGAGCAGACATTTCACAGAAGACGTACAATAGCAAAGCAGCACATGAAAAGATACCTAAACTCATTAGTTGTGAGAGAAGTGCAAATTAAAACCACAAAGAGATACCTACTAGAGTGCAGTAAAATTACAAAGACTGACCACACCAAGTGTTGGCAGGGATGTAGAAACACTGGCACCCCAGGGCAGCACATGGTCCATGCTAAGCGACAGACACTCGGGCTGTGTCCTCAGGATGACCGAGTGGGAGACAGCAGCACCAGCAATGGCAGAGAACCCTGACATCAAGCCCTTTGGGAAGTGGAACACTGATGATGTGCAAATCAGTGACACTTCCCCGCAGGATCACACTGCAGTGAAGAAGAAGTATGCCAAGTACCTGGCTCACAGTGCTGTGCGGTACGCTGCCAAACGCTTCCGCAAAGCTCAGGGCCCCATATGTAGCGCCTCACTAACTCCATGATGATGCATGGTCACAGCAACGGCAAGAAGCTCGTGACTGTGCGCATCATCAAGCATGCCTTCGATTTCATCCACCTGCTCACAGGCGGGAACTCTCTGCAGGTCCGGGTGAACGCCATCATCAATGGTGGTCCCTGGGAGGGATCCACCAAATCGGGGGAGCAGGGACTGTGAGACAACAGGCTGTGCACGTGTCCCCACTGCACCATGTGAATCAGGCCATCCGGCTGCTGCGCACAGGCGCTCCTTGAGGCCACCTTCCAGAACATCAAGACCACTGCTGAGTGCCTGGCAGAAGAGCTCATCAGTGCCACCAAGAGCTCCTCCAACTCCTATGGCATCAAGAAGAAGGACAAGCTGGAGTGTGTGGCCAAGTCCAACCGGTGATTTTCCCAGCTGCTGCCAATAAACCAAGCCGCCCTTTGGGGCAGCCCCACCTCACCACACACAAAAAAGAAAAACAGGCTCTCGTATACATTGCTAGTGGGAATGCAAATGACAGTGATTTTGAAAAAAACAGTTTGGCATTTTCCCAAATTAACATACACCTACCATTATGATGTAGCTATTCCACTGCTAGGTATTTACCCAAAAGAAATTAAAGCGTATGTTCACACAACAACCTGTACACAAATGTTCACAGCAGCTGTAACAACCCTGAAGTAGAAAAAACACAAATATTCATCAACATGTAAAATGATAAATACACAATGCCATACTACTCAGCAATGAAAAGGAGTCTATTGATACACACTATTGAGCTCAAAATAATTATGCTGAGTGAAAGAAACTACAGTAAAAGGTGTCCATACCATCCAATTCTATCTATGTAAGCCTAAAAAATAAAATGTTCCTCAACTTACAATACATGCATCTTGATAAACCGACTGTAGGTTGAAAATATTTTATGTTGAAACCACATTTAATACACCTACCCTAACATCACTTAGACAAACGACCAGAACACTTACATTAGCCCACAGTTGTGCAAAATCATCTAACA